ACTGAAGAACAAAAGGATAGCAACTTGTCTGTTCCCCTTCCCCCACTTCCCCTATAAAAATTCTTAAAAAAATAAAAATGACTTCTTACCCTGGGAGGGATCCTGGTGCTGTGTTAGTGGACTGATAGTGATGCAGACATGAATTTTAGGTCACTCTGGTCCTCCTCAAAAGACATGTTTGGTGGTGGGGAGAGAGAGGGAATGAGGGTGAAGGAATTCAGCTTTGCCTGAGAGAAAAATAAAGTTCTTTACCAGCTGATTATTTTAGCATTTTTGCAGAGGGTGAGGCCATTGCTTACCACCAGCAAGCTCTACTTTCAAACATATCAACAGAGTAGTCAGCAAATAAGAGGTTAACAATCAAAGATGAACACGAAAAAAGGAAGATCATGAGAATATTATGAACCAAAAACCCATGCAACTGGCAAAAATTATATGCAAAAAATTTTCATAACTTCATATAAATAAGAGGAAAAAATACATATGTATTACCAATTTTATTCAAATGGGGGTAGGAAAAATAATAAATTAACCGACACCACCACTGTAATAGAGGCTGTGATGGTCTGTTTTATGTGTCAGCTTGTCTAGGCTTCAATCCCTAGTTATGCAAACAAATATTAACCTAGGTGTGGCTGGAAAGTATTTTGTAGGTGTGATTAAAGTTTATAATCAGCTGACTGTAAAGAAGGGAGATTATCCTAGGTTGTCTGGGTGGGCCTGATCCAATCAGTTGAAAGGCCTTAAATGCAGAACTGAGATTTCCCTGGAGAAGACATTCCCCTGGTGGGCAGCAGCTTCAGCCCCTGCCTGAGAAGTGCCATTCCTGACACCTGCCCTGAGGATTTTAAACTTGCTCAGCCAGCCCCCACAATCACGTTAGCCAATCCCTTGCAATAATCTTTGATAAACATCTCCTACTATTTTCTCTGATTGAGCCCTGACTGATATGGAGGCCAGAGATTTATGCCTAAAAATTATGAGACTCAAGTTGTACTGAAAACCTTCTACCAAATCTGCATAAAATATTTAACTTCTATGTTTTTTTTAACACTATTGGTTAGTTTTATTTTTATTTCTAAAAGGCATTCCTCAGTATACAATTAATTAACAGTGAAATCAGTTTTCTACTTTACAGTACCTAGGGTGCTCCATGAACAGGGTGAATTGATCTGTGCTTTAAAAGCCAGCCAACTCAGACCCCCCAAGACAGGGAATTCCAGAAGTATAACCAGGAAGCAGAAGGTAAGCCTAATTTTGAGCCAATATTCAGACTTGTGGACACACCAAGAGGAAATCATGCTTCCAAATATCTGGCCTGACTATTGCTACAATTAACTCTTTTGCTGCATTAACTGATTTCAAGGTTTTTTTCAAAATGTGTCAGAAATCCACAAAAAAGCAAAAAGTTGACATTTTGATTATTTTATGCCTTTAATAACAATTTGAGCTGTTTTTTATATACATGACATTATTTTTATGTGTAAAAATTTTCTGTTGTTATTCATGCTTGAAAAACACAAAAATATAGAAAAATGTATATCTGCTTTCCTAAACTTTCTTTCTGTAAGTTTCCATCCACAGTCGGCAGATGGAAATATTCATTTGGATATACCCAACCATCACAGCAAAAGGGTTTTAAAATAAGGGATCTCTCTAAGATTAAACAATAAAGAAAACCACTTACAGCTTCACAGTTTGTCTGATGCAGCAAGTGAATAGGTGGTCTGTGTCCAGATGTTGTAGGAAAGCACACGATTTCATTTTATTGTGAAGCGTAGCTGTTCCTCTTTCATTGTGCCTCTCACACTCAGAGTTTACGTTGCCACCCAATCAGAGGCTACTAATCACAGCCATCCTCCAGATTCTTATGTGCACCTCAGTATGACAGATTAAAGGCCATAATCCTATTTATAAATGTCAAAATAATTGGTCATTAAGATTTTCTGAAGAAACCAATTCTATAGGTAATTTAAAGGTTCTTATTTGCAATTAGAGCAGCATTTGAAGCATTTACCTTTTGGGACTTTCCTGCATTTGGTGGTCTTTGGTCTTGTGATTTGAGGAGGCACCATAAATAAACTACTTTAAATGTAAAAGTCCTTGTAAACGGAAATTTAGGAGTTAGTTATACCTTGTGCTTGGTATAGCAGCAGACTCCACTAATGAAATTCAAATTAAATACTGTTACCTAAATAAAGTGTGTCGTAAACAGGGAAACAGAATTTCATATGAAAAATTAATAATATACTAATATACAGTCATATATAATTACAAAACTAATATCCTTGTGGTACATATGAAAAAGTTTACACATTATTTTTCCATTTTATTTCCTCAGTAGAGGAGCATTTTTCTCTATTCAGTAGAGGTGACAGGCAGCAGGGCCCCATCTCTTGCTATACTTGTCCATTGACATAGTATGTGTTTAGCTTATCCTCAAACTCACTTCCTCTGACCTCCTCAGCAGCTTAGCTTTTCTGCCTTCTCTAGAGTCATACTATTGGTTCTCAACATAATTAAGCATGAGGCCATAGTCCAATCCTTCCTTTTCTATGGGGACTATAGATATGCCCATCTTTAAGTGTTTCTTCTTCAAGTAAGCTCTTGGCTTGTTCTCTGAATGCTAAAAGACAATATTAGAGAACAGTGGGAAATAAATATAAATTTAAAGATCTTTTGAAGAGGTAGAGGGAGAGGAGAGAAAGGTATGTACTATAATTTCTTCTCACTAACCAGTCTGCAAAGATGTTAGAGACAATAAGCTAAAAAAAGCTTACCGAGAAAATCAGGAATAAATCTCCCCAGCGTGGCAACAGATGTTCAGGGTAAACTAGGAAAACCTATGTCTTAGACTCTTAAATAACTATTTAAAATCTACCTTAGGAAAAGAACTAGGATTAGTACGTGGCTTATCTGCATGTATAGTTACATAATGAAGATTATTTCTTTTTAAAAGTTCAATTTACAAGTGATATGTTGACTTACAGGATTACAACAAAATACAATTTTACTATGTCAATTTTTAAAAAACAGCAACGTTATGATCACCCCAGCTTGATTTCTTTGTAGTTGTCCTGGAGATACAAACAGTTGTTGAATAAATATATAATAGAGGGATTTTTGCTTTCTGTAATATGGCTGTGATCAGTAATGGCCAGCAAGTGCTCCAGCCTAGCAGTCCGTCAAGGTGGTAGGACACCTGGAATCCCAAAGGAAGCCCGAAATGTCCTAAGAGGGACAAGTGGGATGGTTGCTGGTTTATGTTGGCATGATCGCATGTGGAAACCTTCAGGTCTCCTGGTGCCATAAAGAATGAGATGGTGTTATTGTTGGTTCCACAGTACAAAGAGGTCTGGAGCATTCATTGTGAGCTAAGAGCCCGCAATAGTCCACAGTGCTGTACTGCATGTAGCCCAGAAAAAAGCCAAATGCCACGTCTGTGACATTGTGCTGCCCCAGCATGACCCTGAAAAGGCCCAAGATGAAGGCCCACAGTACCAACAACACTCTTAGTGGAACGGCCAGCACCAGGTGGTTCAAGATGAACCGCAACACCAGGGCGGCCCTGGTGGCACGGCCTGAGGGGAAGGAGTATTTGTCTACCTAGAGCAGTGGGTTTCAACCTTCCTAATGCCGCGACCCCTTAATGCAGTTCCTCATGTTGTGGTGACCCCTAACCATAAAATTATTTTCGTTGCTACTCTATAACTGTAATTTTGCTGTTATGATTCGTAATGTAAATATCCAATATGCAGGATGTATTTTCATTGTTACAAATTGAACATAATTAAAGCAGTGATTAATCACAAAAACAACATGTAATTATATATTGTGAAATATTTATAATTCATGAAGTGTCGTTTTTACCTCCAATACTGCTGCTTTCAACACAGCAGCTGCTTTCTACACAGTAGCTGCTCTCTACACGTGTGACTGGTCCGCATTAGTACATTATGGTGCCAACCCTGTCACATACACCTGTATTTGTATGGGGTGTATGTGATGGGGTTGGCGCAATGATGTCATCACGCCGGGTACTCGTATGTGGGCGTATCTGCATGTGGGCGGACCCGCCTGGAGACGGATAGAGAAGCGGTGTCCCGGTTCCTAAGACCATCGAAAATATGTGTTTTCTGATGATCTTAGGCGATCCCTGTGAAAGGGTTGTTCGACCCCCAAAGGGGTCGCGTCCCACAGGTTGAGAACCGCTGCTCTAGGGGATGGAGGGCAGGACCCTCCATCAGAAGTGTGGAAAACCCAAAGATTAAAGATGTGGTTCCTGCACTCAGAGTATGAAAGTTACCACAAGAGCTCTGAGAGGGTCGTTTCTGGAACCCATGGGATTTTCGGGCCCTCTCGGCTTGCTGAGGTCTAGGTAAAATCATCTTGAACTCCAGACCCTGCTCCTTGACCATCGATTCCAGAGTCTGTGGGGTGTGAGCCACAGCAGGCTGGTGATCTAAACCACCTTCTGGGCGTGAAGGCCATTGTTTCATTCCACCTTCTAAATCTCCAATCCTGCATAGTTTCTCTTGCAGCCAACCCTGAACTGAGCCATAAAAGGGAGAGGGCTCTGGGAAAGGTCATCCTGGCTAAGCAAGGTTGACACAGTGTAAACCACCCCAGACACCAAATCAGACGATCACACTCCATGGGTCTCTTCAGACACTGGTCACCCTTGCAGAGTCCCCCCAACACAGACTGCCATGGTTCTGACAAGGGGAAGCCAGTGCCGGCGCCCGACTCCATTGGGGGCTTAGATTCAGACTCTGCACCTGTCCTCCCTACTGGCAGTCATGGGAAATAAAGCGCAGGTGATGATAGCAACCACCTCAACAAAGATTGTTACTTATTGTGCTAAATTAATTATTCTAAATTAGTGACTATTCTAGTTATATATGTTAACAGAAAACAATTTAGGGACTCTATGATTCAATCACCCAAAACTGAAATAACAGCCTGAAAAAAAATAAGTCAAAATTACACACTCCTGCAAATGGTTTATTCAAAGCTTATTTATTACCAAAGAGCAAATCATACCAATAGAAATATTGATGAGTTCAACATAAGAAAAAAAAATTAAATAAATAAATCTTTATGTAGTAATTTGAAACTACCTACAAGATACTTTAAGCAAAAGAACAAGATGCAGACCAGTGTGTGGTTTGCTACTATTCATCTTAAAAGAGGGAACAGAATATATGTTATCTATATACTTATGCATACTCTCTATATGTACATATGCATATATTATATATATGTGCTTATATAATCCTATACAATTTTGGGATACAGATAACACTGGTACCATTGGTTGCCTCTGAGGAGAAGTGGGTGGCTGTGGGACATGGACAGGAAGGACATTTTTTACTACATGATTTTTTTATACCTTTTAGCTTTGAACCATGTACAATTATAGTCTGTTGAGAAATAAATTAAAAATTAAAAGAAATAGATAAGCCATTTAAAAACATACAGTAAATTCATCATCTTCCGGGGCACATTGGAAAATGTCCATGAGGTATTGGTGGCTTACACTGTCATATAATATAAAAAACAACTTATGAGTTCCTCTCAACCTCAATTTCTAAACCTTAAATACACATTTCAGAAAGAAACAAACAAACAGCCAGAACTGGATGGATTCTTTAAGTGAAGCCCCGCAGAGGCCCTGGGGACTAACAGTCATCCAGGCCGCTCTTAGCAGCAAAGAGCGAGGTGATGAGGCCATCCCCAGCTCTCACAGCCAGGTCGTGGGCCGTCTGGCCTCTCGTGTTCTTCCTTTGGATGCTTGCACTGCATCTGTGAAAGGAATGAGGGTGAAGAGAAGGACTCAGGCACTTGGACCTCAGGGCCTGGCTCTTCCCAAACACGGAGGTGAGTGTGGAAGCCTCCTGGACCCCTTTCCCTCTTCCCATACCTGTTCCCAAGAAGCACTATGACCTCCACTCTCAAGGGTGGCTCTACCCTAAGAACTTTTGAGGGACTCTGTGATTTCAAATGTTCAAATGCCAATCCTGGCCGTTGGTTCCCACTGCATCACAGTTCTAAAACCAAGTGTGTTTAAGGAGAGCAGCATTTTCATTGTGCGTTTAAAAGCCCTTCGTACTGGGAGCCATGGTGGGATGGATGGTGGCCCCCATTCACTGAGAGCTGTTTAGCGTCCTCTGAAGTCATCCTCAGTCAGCAAGTGGATCATTGTGACCCTCAGAAGTCACCCTCAGAGACCAGGGAACGTACCGCAGTAAAGCACTGACGCACTCCCTTCCTGCCAGGCCAAGCTGAGTTGCTTCATGAAGAGCTGTATTTCGGAGCCTGTTTCAGGAGAAAAAATCATCTTGGCTAAATCCTTAGTTAGCATCATCAAGCAATGGGAGAGGGAGCATATGACCAAAGGGGCCTTAGTTTCACCTGCTTACTTACTAACTAACCTGGGGTAATCTCCTGAGTCTCCCCTCTCTGCCTCTTCCCTTGGGGGGATACTGTGATGGTGGGTAAGTTTGGATATTAGATAGACAGTGAAAAGTCTATAAACACATTCTTTTTTTTTTTAAAGATTTTTATTGGGGAATTGGGGGAAGGGGAACAGACAAGTTGCTGTCCATTTTGTTCTTCAGTCTAGTTGTGGAGGAAGTTGCTTCACTGGCCCAAGTTGGCACCATCATTGTGCTCTTCCCTGGCGAGGCAGATTAGTCGCCGGCTTCTGGACAGCTGCTCACTGCGGCCGCTGGCCGCTCACGCTGGCCGCTGGCCACACACGGCAGCCCATGGCAACCCACTGCAGCAGGGGCTGCAGCCTCTGCCATCACCAGCGACTCACAGCAGCCCAGCTCCAGGTTGAGCTGTTGTTCAGCATCTTAGCTGTAGAGGGCAGTGTCACCGGCCCTTACATGTGGGATCCGAACCGGGGCCCTCTGGCGTCCCGAGCCAGCTCCCAACCATCGCGCCACTCGGCCGGCCCAAACACATTCTTTTTTAAAATGAGGAACCCCGCAAGGATCTGGTTTGTAGTTGATTTAATAAATGCTAATAATACTATTTTAGTAAATTTTCTGCCAGAGCTTAGAGAACATATTGGACATAGTCTTACCCTTGCCTTGGACCTCTCAGTCATTGTCTGTATGATAATAATCTTTCAGGGCCGAGGTTCCTATTCTTGTATAGGAAAAATGACTTTGGCTTCAGTGAGTTTAGCCTGTAGAATATGAAAGTAAACACCAACCTTAAAACCCAGAGGGTAAGCCTGAGAGGTCATACAGGGCGTATTTTATTGCATGGCAGACTGTCTCTCTACCCTGCCTGGTCAGGTTTGGCCCAGAGAGAGAGTGGTGGATGGCTGAAATGGAGGATAGTATATTACCTGAATTCTAGAACTCATGAAAGGCTCCTGATCAGAGGTGGCAGGAGTGATGCGTGTGGAGTCAGGATTAGAGTAAAAATGGGATGAGCAACTGAACTTCTTCATTCTCCCAGCCCCTGCTCTTTCCCTTAATGCCACCACCCGAGCCCCTGCACCTGTAAATGTATCTGTAGCCATAAATTTATCCCAATGGAGTAAAAGGATGGTGACCTCTTTTCTGAAGAAGACAGAGTCTCTGGTGAGAACAAGGCCAGTGATTGCTATGCTGAGTGAAGCCTTCCACTTGTTCCAGCTGGAGAACAGCTTCACCTACCTACAAAACTCCACAGTTGCAAGCCCCACTCATGTACACAGAGTCCCCACTCATCTAGCCTATTCCCTATTATCAAACATGGATGGACAACAAAGGATTACAGACATCTGACAAAAACCTGCAGCATCAAAGAGAAAAACCAAGACACACCAACATACGAAATTTAAAACAGGACGAAAGCCTAACTGGTATCCTCAGAATGACTGAAGACAATATCAGACAAAATCATGAGGCTATGAAGAAGAAACAATCAAAACAAAAAGTAGCTCCATAGAAAGTTAAAATATGATTGTTGAAATGAAAAGTATTCAATAGAAGAGTTAAGAAAATCTCTTAAAACAGAAAAAGGGAGAACACTTCATAAATTGTATAGATTCCTGACCAGTGAGCTATGCACCTGAAGCTTAAGTGGAATAATATTGAATGCCAACTATATTTAAAGATATATATAAAGATATAGGGGGGCTGGCCGAGTGGCACATTGGTTAAGAGTTGGCTTGGGATGCCAGCTCTGAGCAGCAGGGCCACGGTTTGGATCCCACATGAGGGCCAGTGACGCTGCGCCCTCTACAGCTAAGATGCTGAACAACAGCTCAACCTGGAGCTGGGCTGCCGTGAGTCACCAGCGACGGCGTTGGCTGCAGTGGGGCTGGTCGGCAGCTGGCATGAGCTTTCATGAGCGGCCGTCCAATGGCCAGTGAGTGACTGCCTCACCCGGGAAGAGCACAATGATAATACCAACATGGGCCAGTGAAGCGATGTCCTTCACAACTAGACTGAAGAACAAAAGGACAGCAACTTGTCTATTCCCCTTCCCTGATTCCCCAACGCTGTTCCCCTCCCCCAAGTCCCAAATAAAATCTTTAAAAAAAAAAAAGATATAGGGGATCAATTTAAGAGGCCCTATCCAAATTACAGGAATTCTAGGCGAGAATAGAAAAAAACAGAGGGGAGAAAATTCCAGATATAATATGAAATAAGCTCAACATCACTAATCATTAGAGAAATGCAAATAAAAACCACACTGCGATACCACCTCACTCAGGTCCATCATCAATGGCTATTATCCAATGGCTGTCATCAATAAATCAACAAACAACAAGTGCTGGCAAGAATGTGGAGAAAAGGGAACCTTTGTGCATTGTTGGTGAGATTGCAGACTGGCGAAGCCACTATGGAAAACAGTATGGAGGTATCTCAAAAAATTGAAAGTGGAACTACCTCATGACCCAGCAATTCCACTCTTGGGTATCTATCCAGAGAAATCCAAAACACTAACTTGAAAAAGTATATGCACCCCTATGTTTACTGCAGCACTATTCACAATAGCCAAGACATGGAAACAACCAAAATGCCCACTGTTAGATGACTGGATAAAGAAACTGTGGTACATTTATACAATGGAGTATTACTCAGCCATAAAGAAGAATGAAATCTTACCATTTGCAATGATATGAACAGGCCTAGAGAATATTATGCTAAGTGAAATAAGTCAGATGGAGAAAGACAAATACCATATGATATCAATTATATGTGGAATCTAGAGAACAGAATAAACAAACAAACAAAACAGAAATAGGCTCAGAGATGTAAGGGAAAAAAACCTGATGGTTGCTAGATGGGAGGGGGATGGGGATGGGGATGGGGGAGAAGGTAAAGGGATTAGGAAGTACAAATTAGTAGTTACAATATTGTCATGGGAAAATGAAAGACAGTTTGGGGAATATAATCAATAATGTTGTAAAGATTTTGCAGGGTGTCAGATGGGCACTGGACTTATTAGGGAGACCCCTTGATGGACGGTGTAGATGCCTGATCACTGTGCTGTACACCTGAAGCTGAATAATACTGAATGTCAATTTTAATTACATATATATATATATCTCCAAGAAAAGTAAGAAAGGAGAAAACTATTAAAATTGTAATACTCAATATATACTGATAACAAAAGATGAATATAAGTCACGTTTGACTTCTGCAATTACAAGAGGTGCTCAAAGTGGTTACCATCAGCATCCAGACACTTCTGATTACGGCAAACCACTGCTTGAGCAATGTTGACCAGTGTCCACTTTTATATATTTTTTGGCACCCCCAGCATATACATGGTCATGGGATGTGGAGTATAAGAAGCATAGGGAATATAGTCAATGGAATTGTAACAGCCATATACAATGTCAGAGGGATAGTAGACTGGGGGTGGGGGTTATCACTTTGTGAGGGGTGTAAACGTCTAACTATTACATTGTTTTGTACACGTGAAACTAATTTTTTTAAAAAGTAAACATATACTATTAGAAGTTGTGACATGGAAGGGGAAGGAGAGATAGGGGTAAAGGTTGGGAGTACTAATATAAGGTTATATGCACTTATAAACAAGGCAGTCAAGAAATACCTTGAAAGACGATGGTCAAAATGTAGACAGGAGTTTAGGCATATTATTTATACTTATAAGAGTAATTAATAAAGGAACCAAAAATAGTAACAGAATGATCAAAACATGAAAGTGAGGACAGAAGTGATCAGGTGGGGTCAGCAAGCCAAATCATCATCTATCGTGGTAAGAATCAATAGGTAATGTCTAAGTATGCTAAATCAGGAATTATCAGTTTCAGTGTATTATTTAGTGACAGATACCTAGTTGGCTCTCAGGAGAACTTTAAAGTATTTAAATGTAGTTGTCCCTAGGGAAAAGGAATGGGGATGAAGAAGTGAGGGTAGAGGAGGACTGCTAAGCCCTTCCATAGGACTTGATTTTTTAATCACGTGCACATCTTACTTTGATAAAATTAAAAAGTTATGTGATGGGCCAGCCAAGTGGCTTAGCTGGTTAAGAGCACGGCTCTGAGCAACAGGGTCGCCGGTTTGATTCCCACGTGGGCCAGTGAGCTGCGCCCGAGCTGAACTGCCAACAGGTGGCAGGATGGCTCAGCTGGTGAGAGCATGTGCTCCTAACAACAAGGTTGCCGATTCAACTCCCGCATGGGATGGTGGGCTATGCCCACCCGCAACTAAGATTGAACATGGCATCTTGAGCTGAGCTGCTGCGAACTGCCGACAGCAACTGGACTGGAGCTGAGCTAGCTGTACCCTCCACAACTAGGATTGAAGGACAGCAGCTTGGCTGTTTCCCTTCCCCAGATCCCCAGCACTGTTCCCCTTCCCCAATTCCCCAATAAAATCTTTTTTTAAAAAAAGAAAAAGTTATGTGGTAAGAATTGTTTTCAATAAACAAATACAATTTAAAAAATATTTCTGCCAGACTATATATAAGTAAAGCAATCTCAATTTGACTGGACCAAAAACGAATGAAGTTGGTGAATAAACCTCTCCAATACTGCTCTGCACCTAAAGCAAGTCTGTTCCAGACTAATTCCGGTCCTAGGAGTAGGGGTGGGCCCTTCCCAACCAGACTCTCTATTCTCCTACCTGGCTTTATTTTCTTTGTAGCACTTCTCATTCTCTGAAATTACTTATTTATTTGCTTACTTGTTTATTGTCTGTATCCTCCACTAAACTGTAAGCTCTATGATGGAAGGAATTTGGTCTTCACCACTGCAGTATCTGCATCACCTAGAATGGTGACTGGCACATAGTATGTGCTCAATTACTACTAGTAAAATGAATACATCAATGAAAAGA